CAGAAGGCCCTTCTGTTTAGTCCACTGATGCCTAGGAAGCGCAGATCTAAGAGTGGCACTTTAGACTGCTGCTCGGGTGAGGTAGTCAGCACGTGGTAACAAGATGGGAAAACTGTCTGATTACCCGGTCTGCTTTCCTGCTGTCACTGTTAAACTCAGATTTGAACTTCACTGCTCTTGATGTTTTGGTAGAGCATGAGTTATTTACTCCTTGGAAACCAGAATGTCACTGTAATTTGTCATCAGTGAATTCCCTAATTTTCCACAATTCCTATTCTATATTTAGCCTCTCTTTCTCAGTCGCTCTAGGCCATTAGCATTTTAAAACCTAGTTTGATGTTTGGGGCTTCATGTGTCTCGTTGGCAGCAGCTTCCTCAGTGACCACAAGGCTCTTAGATTGGAGCAGTGTATTAACCTGTGCAACGTAAACTCTGCTGACTCGACCTATGTGTACGCGCTTCTCTCTCTTTCTTAGGAATAATAACTGCCCTACGCTTGTGCTGCTCAAGGAAGAGAAGAAAATAAGCCTAAATTTTATAGTCCCTTAATATGTATGCATGCAGTGATATTCAGTACTCTTGCATACTGCTGGCCAAACGCACTGTTTGCTGTAAAACTCTCACCAAGCTGGTGGCAGTCCTCTTGGGGAGAAGAGCCTTGTCATCTGCCACTGGCACAGGCTTGTGAGATGCAGCACTTCTTCCCTTTGGCACGTGGGGATCAAGCGGGCATTGCTACCCCTGCCACCGTGCTCTAGCAAATTCCTGTACCGTTCAGTGTTAACACGGCACATGTGCGGTGCTTGCTGATAACTCTATTGCCTTTTGTCAGCAACCAGGGAGCAAAGGAAAAGTTGCCTAAGAATGTGCCTAAGCTCTCCATTATCCCTTTTTTATTGGGGGGGGGGGCGCGGGGGGGGGGTTTTGTGTGCAGCCGAAACTGTGCTGAACAGCACATTTTCTGTATTCTAGAAGCCGCATGATCTGAATATGCACAGAAGCTAAGCACCACGCTGAAATACTTGTAGTTAAGAGCCTTTTTATAAGACAGTCAGATATTTGTCTTGTATACATACTTACTCAAAGTATGAGGAGATATTGGAAAGAATGGCTGCAGAGTGATAGCTTTACATTATAAATATTTTATGAAATAATTGCAAGTACAAATGATTTGGAAGAAGGAGCCATTTTAGCAGAGCCGTTATAGTGGATGGCCCTTTGTTGTGCTGGTTGGATCTATTTCAACCACTTGGCATAGGCTGAAAAATGGTAAGTTTTTAAAAAACAGTTTTATTGACAACAGGAGATTTGCTAATAAGTCTCTGGAGGTTTTTTTTTTTTTAATTATTTAAATACTTAGTGACTGGTTTGTGTGGAGAATCTGAACTCCCCTGCTGGACTGTGTGCATACCAAATGATGTCACGTTGGTAACTGCTGGAGTTAGAGAGGAGGAACATTTCAATTTGTTTCTAAAACACCTGTGAAATACCTTATACAATTTTGAGACGATAATTAGATTAAGTAAGTAAATAGCTGGATTAAACCTTCCAGACTGGCCCTAATTTGCCTTCTCTGCAGTTGGAATTCTGTAGTAAGTACGTGGACTTTATAGCTGTGATGAAATTGTATATAGTGCTAGTCAAGCCAAATACATATATAACTAATTGTGTCCTTCATTTTCTCAGTCTCTGACCTGGGATTCTGCAGTCTGGTTTGCAAATGTGCTGAATCTCCACCGCTGATGTTAACGGGAGCTTGTGCTTCAGACATGCAAAGTGCAGTAGAATTTGGAGTACTGAGAGTATTCCAGGTTTGAAACGTCTGAGGTCGGGCATTCAAAATTAGTGGATTTTTTTAAACATCTGAATATACTTGGTTGTAGCTACAAGTTTGTATATCAGTATCTTTTAACCACAGGAGCATTCTGAAAATACATTAACATTAGCAAAGCGTTCACATAAAATACAGACAGGCATTTTAGAAAATCTCATGAAGAAATGAAATCTGTCTCCAGAGCGGTTTCTTCATGATTCAAACCACAGGCAGCAGAGCAAGGGTCCATATGTTGAACAATGAGAAAAAATCAGAATGAACTGAATAGCTGCTGCTGAAGTGTGTGCTGTTCATTCTTTGCATTGAATGATGTAGAGAGCTTATAGAAGTGTAAGGAGTTGGTGTATCTGAAGCCTATGAACCATACAAGATGTTGGTTAAAGCTTGCACAGGCAGCATTAATTTTGTCACTTGCTAGATTTTGAAGGTTTGACTTGTAAGCTTTGTAAGCCGTATGTATGCCAGCTGGGTTTACAGACTAGTTCAAATTTGGGATGCAAAAGCCTTTGTCAACTATCCTTCTCTTGCTGTTCTTGCAGTCTCTCTATTAATTCATTTTTTCTGATTGCTTAATACGACAATTATAAACTCTTCAGGGAGCATGTCTGTCTGCGTACCCTGACTAGTTACAGAGTCAGGTTCCTCTTTGTTTTTTCTCTTTTTAGCTAATATCTTTGAACCTGAGCCAGTTTATACCATCAAAAAGATTAGGGTATGGAAGGCATTACTAGCTCAGGTTTGCTTATTCTATGCTAAGTCTTTGCATCAGATACTCACTTTGCTTGATCACTCTGTGATTCTGTTCATGCTGATCTGTATGTGTTTCCGCTGACGGAGAGCGTATGCTTTGATTGGAGTGCCATGCTGTGACAGCGTGGAGAAACACAGCTTAGCGAGCTTTAATCTAAAAGCGAAATTGAGACAATGGTGATCATCAGTATAATTGGTATGAGGGTTCTGGTAGCCTTGAAATGGCTCCTGGTACTCAGTATGATAGACTGAGTGAGTTCAGGTATACTACAGTGGGGATTCATGCAATGAAATGTTATAAGACAGTGCTGTATTCTGGCTCTTCTTCAACCGCTTTGTGAAATTACAGCCCTGTCTTTTTAGATCCAAGCACAATTTAATCCAATCAAAGACCGCAATATCTTGAGCGTAAGGAGGGAGAGATGATAAAGGTAATGTTGTTGGCTTCAGAGGCTTGTGTCATGGCCAGGTGTCGCTGTCTGTCTTTCCTACTCTTTTTCCTGCCTTCCAAAAAGAACATTACAAGCTCTTCTATGAGGATGAGGAGTGCATGTTCCAAACACAGTCTTTACAATATTTTTGAGCTTTTTCCTCTCTGACAAAGATAGGCCAGCAGGCCTTGAAAGAGGTGGCTGCTCTCACGTGCTTTATGGCACTAGTATGCCACTCTTGTGTGCCACTCAAAGCAGGCGCTCAGCTTTTGAATTCATGATGAACATCTAGGTGTTGAAAAGATAAGCCTTCTCCCTTCAGAGTTACAGAATTATTGTTTAGTGTCTTCCCCCCCCCGCCCCGCCCAGGGAAATGGCTTACTGAGTCTGTCTTTTGCCCTCAGTGTGCAAGTTGCTGACACTTGTCACTCTTCCCTTAACAGGCTGCTGATACTCTTGCTGTGAGACAGAAGAGAAGGATCTATGATATCACCAACGTTTTGGAAGGAATTGATCTGATTGAGAAAAAGTCAAAAAACAGCATTCAGTGGAAGTAAGTCAATCCTGTTGCGTATCTTCACATGCTCAAGAGCAACAAAAATTGCTTCCTTCCACTTCTAACTAGATGTTATAACAAAGAATTAATGTCGTCCTCTGCAATGAGCAATGCAACATACTGGAATCACAGTAAAGTTGCGTATGCCCTTTGTCTTCCCTTTAAGTTGCATCTTTGATACGTGAAATCAGGTTGAAGCATATATGAGAGAAACTTTTGGGAAACTTGTACTGCTACCTTATAACTAGCACTTACAGTTGAAAAATTTATTCTACGTGAACCTGGGAGAGGTACTGGTACACACTGTCTCGACCTACGTTTGTGCCTGTGTGCCGCGCTTATTTTGTCATGAGCCACTGAAGATGAAAAGCCAAGCTGAAGAGTTAGGGAGAGGGGAAGGAAAAAGGTCCTACAAATTTAACACAGAAAAACTTATGTTCTAAAATAATATAAAACTAGGTAGAAGGGAATTCTAAATTTGATCTTAACAGAAAAAATGAAAATTCTAAACTTAAAACACTGCTGGGAGAGTAAACATTCATTTGCTTCATATGGAATTGGTAGGTTTTTTTAAATGTGTAAAGTAGACTTCACAAATGATCTTTGCCTGTTTGCTTTTGATTTTCACATATCGTGGTTTCACGAACCCTTGTACCTTTTTAAGAGGAGTAGGTGCTGGCTGCAATACAAAGGAAGTCATAGACAGACTGAGGTATCTTGAAGCTGAAATTGAAGATCTAGAGCTAAAAGAAAAAGAATTGGATCAGCAGAAACTGTGGCTACAGCAAAGTATCAAGAATGTTATGGATGACTCTACAAACCACCAATATCCTTTTAAACAAACATTGTGCACATCTTGGAACTACAATTAAAACAACAGTTATGTGGTAGAGCATAATGTAGTTCATTTAAGCAGAAGCAAGGGAAGGATCATTTTTGTTCTGGTTTTGGTTCAACATTAAAAAAGCATAAAATTTGCTTACCTGACCTTACTTGTAACCTGTATAACTGTTCTGAAAATAATCTGGCACATGTATATATGGCAATAATTTTTAAATCCATAATATAATCCAGGTGTCTGGCTTTAAATGAAATATATTGCTGTTAGGCACTTTACACTTTCTTAGCAGTAATTTATATTACTATTTTTTGTGTTGTGTCCTTCTCTTGAAAAGATTTAGCTGTTTCCCAAAGGTAAATCGAGTTGACAAAGTGCTGAAGCTTGCTTGGACTGGAACTGGGAAAGTATCCTATGTGTAAATACCCCATAAGCAGAGAGTTCCAGCTACACTGTGTTCATTACTTGTAACTATGCGTTTAGCTGTCTTGCAAGATACTGTGTGCGAAATAGACATCTGGGATTTGGAGCAGGAAGGTACTCTTATCTATAATACATTGATAAGTACTTAAAATTACTTGCAGTTGCTCTACAGAAACTGTTCCAATAAGATGGATTTTGTAGCAAAGGAGATTTAAGTGAGCTATTAGGGAAGACTGTCCGACAGGAGAGTTGAGCACTAGACTTGATTCTCCCAGGGAGAATCTCTATCGCTGGAGCTTCTCCAGAACAGGAAAGGCAAATGTCTGAAATGTCTTAATAGTTGGCCCGATCTTGAGGCAGGGAGGCGGGACTGCAGGTGCATGCCCAAGCCACCTATAGTAGTGTATTTCCGTGATTCTGGGGAGTCCGAATACATAGTTGAATTCTCCATTGTCAAGTCTATGAGGCAAATGGTATTCTTAAAACCAAGAATGCACATATTTTCAATTTAAAAATAAGCTCATTCAAGCGACTTCATTTTTCTTCTTCTAGTATTTTCCTCACATACATAGAATCATTTTTACAATACAGAACTGTTCTATTTTTAAATAGCCATTCTGACAGCTGACAGCCGTAAGTCATGCCCTGATTACATCTCTGAGTAACAGCAGCAAGTTTATAGTGTAGGCTCAGTTTGGACAAATTTCTTTTAAAGAGCAACAAATACCAGTTTCATGTTGTTTGAACAAAACTGTTCCTTGACAAAAATTACGTTTTCATATGTCACCCATGAAGATATTTGTAACTGCTTCAATGGTAAGTTCCTGCTAGGCAAATTAGGGCTTTCCTAATGTTCCTGTATGTATTGCTTTGGTTTTGTATCTTCCAGTAACATTAGAAATTAGAAACCGCTTTTTCCCTGAAAGTAATCTGAACTTTGAGCATGTTTTCAGTAGTGATCCGGAGTAAAGAGATGTCCCTCATAGTATTCATGACCTATGAGTTCTGGCAGATAAAGGAACTTATTTTGTAGTTGTTGTCACAAATTGTATAGAATGGAGTTTCAGCTATTTTCAGAGCACTATTTTTTGGATTTTTTGTTTTTTTAAAATATATTCATACTTTCAGCAGCTTGCCTCAGGAGACTAACAGAACGAGGTACAGGGCATGTTGGTCCAACCCACCAGAAAGACCAGGCAGGTCCAAACTTCATAACATTTTCTGGTGGCAGCTGCAGCCAGGAGGAGTTCCTGATAATACTATATAAGTGGAGCCAGCTAAACTTCAAAGATGCAGTATTGCTACCAAAGCAAAAGGAGTCCTTCTGTACAGGAGGTGTGAAGAACTTGTCAAGAATTGCTGGCAGAGATTACTTCCCTTGATGTCCTTCCCTGATCAGGGGGTTACCCACGGGAAGATTGTTTTTCAGCTTTCATTGAGGCTTAGTACCATCTCTTGCTTCTTTGAGACAAGGAAGGTGGGGTTTGTTTTTGAATAAAAGTGCAAGATTAGACAGGTACTGTGGAGTTGAACAAAAACGAACTCTTACTAATAAGTGTTAGGAATTACAAAATATGGAGGCATTTAGTAATGCCAGTCACGTGGTACTTCATGTAAATATCTCGTATCAGACAGAGAGAGAAAAGCGTTGTTCCAAATTGTGGACAAAAGGAGAACGATGCGCAGATGAGTGAGTGACCTGCAGCAGTTTGTGTCAGTATGTTGATATAATTGTGATCTCCTGACTTTAACCAGTAAATTGTAGTGCACGTACGGTGAGCTACAGGAGAATTTGATAGTCAGCTTTTACATCTCAGTGGTATGTGCTGCAGAAGTTTTGAACTTAAGACACTTGGAAATGCTGGCACGGAAGACCACCAGTAAGACTTTTTTTCCTGCCCGTGTGCATTCTCTCTGTATTACCACCATTTTTCACAGCCGTGAAGTGAGCTTTATCACAGAACTGTTTTAGCTGAAAAATAACCTATTTTCACAGCATGTTATGTACACAACTGGGAGATCTGGGGACAGTAACAAGCAGGTAAAGGAAATACTAAGATACCAAATCTGGCCCTGCTGCAAGAAAAGGTCCTTGCAACCATGGTCTAAGTGTTGGAGCACTGTGATTTATATTATGTGATATACTTGGATCTTACAGGGATGGTGTGCGTCCCACCCCGACCTTTCTATTTATGCTAGAATTTTGCAGTATTTTAAGTGGCCTTAGAGAATTACCATATCTCATTTCCGTACATACCATGCAAGACTTCAGAAAAAATATGCACACTTAACACTTTCTTAAAAATTGCTATTTAACCAGGAGACACACTTCTAGCAATTCAAGCACCTTGTGGTACACAGTTAGAAGTACCTATACCCGAAATGGTATGTACTGGTTTCTTGTTTATCTAAGTGTTCGAGAGTGGCAATGGAAAAGAAGAGCTACATCAGAGCTGAGGATTTATTTCTAGCCATGTATGAGAGAAGAAAAAAAATAAGATGATCTCAGTTGAGAGTGGAGGGGCACGATGGGGAAAAAGAACTTTTTGTACACCTAGATAGACTAATATTAATTGTATCTGCCATTAAAAACAAGATGTAATGGAAGGTTTTTCTGCCCCCTTTTTTCTCTTACTCCTAAAAGTTACAACTCTGCAGCTTGGCATACTTGTTTTGAATTCCCTTGAGAATTTATTAGCACTGACTTTTGTAGGTCAAATTTCTCTCTGTTAATATCCCTGTTTCAGATCCCATACGAAAAACCTTTTAGATTTAGTTGTAGAAATATGTTTAGTCATACGGCACTAGACTGGATAGAGCAACACAGACTGCAGTCTTGCTTTAGCCAGAAGTCTTGAATGAGCAGGATTAAAATAGGAAGTCAAATTACTTATCTCTGTCCATCTTTAATTTTTGTATTGTAGTGCTCTGTTTAAAATAGGGCTTACGTAGTTGCGATAAAGGGTGGTATGAAGCATGTTAGCCACCCATGATGCTTGCAGAAGGATGATATTCATGTGACAAGTTCCACAAGCTATTTTTAGTGAGGCTAAGCACGCCCTGATGTCATAACAACATCCACAACTAGAACCATGAAGCTGATGTAGTGATATGGTCTTTGCCCATCTGTGCTAAAGACAGTTCAGGCAATGGTAAGGTTTCTCTATGTGACCAGAGTTGCCTATAGTATTTTTTTTTTTTTTTGACCTTTTGTTGCAGATTAAAATAGCTCATCTCAGTCTTCATCTGCAACTTCAAATTGGATGTTGTTGCTTTGGCTCCCCTTCCCTCCCCCCTTCCCACTTTCCTCATCCTTTTTTTCAGAATGTATTTGCTGAAAACCTGTTTGCTGAATTAACCACTGTGGGGTCAGCAGTCTCATTGAGACTGTACTACAGGAAGCTAGTGCTAGCTAAATTGTTCAAATAACTCGTCAATGAGAAGACCTGGCAAATCAGCTAAGACGTTGTTTCTACTGACTCGTGATTCTGTGTTCACTGAATCTGAGTGGGATATTCAACTGTAGTTGGATGCTTGGTCCCAATTAAGATAATTCTGAAGCTCAGTTTAAAAGGAAGCAATCTAAATGTACAGAAATCCTTATTTATCATTGCTGCTATTAATAAGATGTAGCCTTGCAACAACTCTCATGTAACGCGAATTCAGTATCAGCTAAGCACTTTGCAGGACTGTATGTTTTTGTCTTCTGTAACTGCATTCTGGTCAGGTAAACACATAACAGGTTTTTTAGTCTGTTTTTTACTGGGTCACTTGCATCTGTGTTAAATTACTTCTTTCTTTCTCAATATGATCTGATAAGCTTGTCAGTTATCTCTTCCTAGTGTTCTGACTAGAAGAGCACTGCACTTGTCTCCTAGAAGGTAAAAGTACATCAATTTGAGAATTCTATTTAAACACCTTCTTTACTTTCTATGGGAAATAACTGTATGCAATTGCTGTTATTTATTTTAAGTTTCAGATTCTCAAGGAATTGTAACTTTCCTCATATGCAACTTCACAGGGACAGAATGGACAAAAGAAATACCAGATTAATCTTAAAAGTAGTTCAGGACCCATCCATGTGCTGCTTATAAATAAAGAATCAAGTTCCTCCAAGCCCATGGTGTTTCCAGTTCCTCCACCTGATGACCTTGCACAACCCCCATCTCAACCTGCAACTCCAGTTACTCTTCCTAAACCTACTACCACTACTCAGAATCCACCAGAACAACATGGTCTTAACCAGGGGCAACATTTACCACAAACATCAGTTGTAGACACGCCATCAGGTACGTCTGGGTTTTTTTTTTTTGTTTGTTTTTCATTTCAGTTGGGTAGGAGGAGCAAGGGGACTGGAGGAAGGAAAGCAGTTAGAAAGGGGGTAGATAAAGGAAAGGCAGATAACAATTTGCATAACATAGCAGCTCTCTGTTAAGAAGGTACCCCAACAGCTTACTAATAGCTCTCTGGAAGTTACAGAGAAGCCTCTTCCTTTTCTGTCTTTCATCTGTTGAAGCAGATTATTCCATGGTAGCTTATCATCTTATACGAAAAAGATTTTGGATGTGATCCTGTAAAATATTCTAAGATGCTTCTCCAGAATGAATGCATGCAGTGTGGAACGAGACTACCGACCTCTGTAGTATATGATTTGAACACGCATCTTTTAATGAGACTGACAATACAGGCAGCAGTTTCTGCTTTTGTGCACAAGATTGCTCACCACCTTCTGCACGATCCCAGTGAGAGACTGCCTGCATGTGGCCTAGTTTGTTTTCATAATAATGGCAGGACAATATAGAAATACTTAAGGAAACACTATCAATATAGCAAACTACATTTCTGAGGGGTCCTGATTAAATTATGCCTGTGACTTAAGAAGGGGAGACACTCTCACCTCAGCCCTGACATCCATCTTGTTCTCCCAGTGAGACAAAGCTGGGTGCAGATGCTCTGTGTTCCTCTCTACCAAAACGGACTTTATAACATGCTTTTCCCTCTTTGTAGACAGCAGTTTGCAGCACAACAGTGCAACTTCAGCAACTCCTTATTCCAGCCTTCCCGACTCTGTGTTATACCCCAGCCTTTCAGGAGATGTCGCCCAAGCTACAACTAGCTCAAATGACTATCAGGCTTTGCTCCCTTTGGATGTTAACTGTATTCTCAAGCCAAATTCATTTGACATAGCAAAGATGGATGAGCCTGCAGGTAGGAAGAAACAGTTACTATTTTAACACTTTTAGCAGTTTCCTGAGCCATTCTTTGTGACCAATTTACCAATGAGTTATCCAGGGGTAAGGATGAACTCTTTTTCCACAGAGAAAACGACAGGCCTTTGTCTACCTCCTAATGAAGCCAGTAAGCCACTTTTGAGTAGCAGTCTCATTCTGAGTAAAATACCCTCCTCTGCTGCCAAATAAGCTTTGTAGTGCACCCAACTTTAAGGTTATAAGAGATCACCTGTACAGCACAAGGAGAGGGGGAGAAATTTAGCAGGAACAACTGAGAAATAAAAAGACAAATATCTTTTATGTATATACGACACGCTAACTATCTCCACAGCTCCTGCAGTGTGCACGAGCCATACTGTACTTTTGCAATTCAGTGTTTTAATGCAGAGAATCGGCATTAGCTACCATAAATGCGTGCTCCTGTCTTTCACAGGAACTATCAGTGGAGATATTATTGATGAACTCATGTCTTCTGATGGTAAGTATTCAGTATCTTCACTTTTTAATAATGACGAGCAGTAGCATGTTTTTCGTATGAACGGTACTCTTGGTAGGCATCTGTTAAATCTGATGCCAAGAGTCAGTATGAAACTACTTCTTTCCCCTGTACTGCCACCTCTATCCTTGACATTCTGGTCTTTGCTCCCCTTTCAGTTCCCCTGTAACAGTTTTATTTAACAATCAAAATGCAAAAGTCTCAATCCAGCAAGCACTTGCCTGCATGAGTAACTCAACAGTACTTACTTCAGGAACAAAGAGAATCGGCTGATAACTAGGATGCTACCTTAAAAAAAAGTCCAGTTTAGTTTTGTTCTGCCCCAGGCTTCCTGCAGGAGCTTTAAGTACATACTTCAGCACATACTTGGGGCTGCCTGCACGCAGACTGATATATGGCCAACTTTGCTACACTGGCAGAACAGACAAATGTGACTCACTTGTGCTTTTGCGCCTCAGTGGCAACGGGAATGCAGAACTGAGCCGAGGCTAGTAAGTTCGTGTGCTCCCTGCTGCACTGACATCAGGGTGCCAGGCAAAGAGGTGAACTCAGCTGGCATTCTTCATCTTTCCCTGTACCTGTGCTGTTCTGTGAGCAGCCTGTGTTACTCTCTGCAATTCGAGCAGACCACCTCAGGGTTTATCCAGGAGGAACCCTGCAATTATAAGATCTAAGAGGGCAGAGAGGATTACGTGAACGCGTCAATAAAATAGGTAGCCAAAATGGAAATAGGCTGAACTTCTAGAGCAGATACAGCATGCCCAGCTCATCTGCATTAGATTACTGTGTTCCTGAGGCAAGGCACGAGGGCTAAGGCTTTTTTTTGCGTTGCCCAGACTGTTTGAGGTCCACGCTAGAAATGCGGCACACAGGGAGCCTGCCAGCCTCCATTTTCCATCTGTAAAATGGGGACAATGGTAGCTTCCTTACATGAAACGATAAATGTTTGAAGACTACAGTGCTGTAATAGGAAGATGGAAATGCATTTTTAAGTGATGGCGCTCTGATGGAAATTTCAGAAGCTGCTCAGCAGCTTCTTTGCAGCACAAGGAGAGATTAAGTCTATATTCCACAGCCATCACCCTGTCCCAGCAAAGTCACTTACAACATTAAGGAAAAAAAGGGAGACATATCGTTTACTGCTTTAGTTGTAAGGCAATACAGGTATTCCTAGCACATATCCCAGCATGCTTGTCAGATTGTCAAGACAATATTTTCATCGTTAAGACTAAACCTGGCACTGAGGATGACAGACATGCTGAATAATGAGATAGGACTGATATTCCGGAAGTGTTTTAACTTAAACTAAACTATTCCTGCTTTACAGTTTTTCCCCTCTTACGACTCTCTCCTACTCCCGGAGATGACTACAACTTTAACCTGGATGATAATGAAGGAGTCTGTGATCTCTTTGATGTGCAGATACTAAATTATTAGATACTGTGTCAACCAGACTATCTTATCTACCTCTAACTATAACATTCTAGACTTCTTCATAACCTAAGTATTTGAATAATGAATGTATAACTTCTTACTTCACTGACTCTGGGAGTATATTGCCTTTTGCTTCCTTTAACTACTTCACAAAACAAATGGAACAACCAGAGAAAAGGGCTTTCATCAGAAATTCTGGCATTTTTTTCACCTGCGTGTCTTTCGTGTAATCCAGTGATTTCAAGTTTTCTTTTGTAAGAAAAGCAAAAATGCTTTATAGCCTTTTGATCATTTAAAAAAAATGATTTGGCTTCTTGCTCACAGTTATCAGCATTTTTTTGAAGCTTGACTGCCAAGAAGCTTTCTATACCTTTCAATCAATAACCTTTCAATCAGTTTTGAAGCTTTCACTGCCAAGATGAAAAGTGAAGGACATCAGCTTGAGTTATCCTAAATTGTTTCAGTGAACGAATTTTGTGAAGTGCCTTCTGTTTTAGCACTTTAAGTTTCTCACACTGACTTCTGACATTCCGCTTTCCTAGATTATAGGAAAGGTCTGTTTGTAGTTTGTATTAAAGTGTGCCAATACTTGTATATTAACAAGATTTTTTTAATAAAATTGTACAAACAAAGCAACCGCTCTGTGCACTCTTCATTTCTTGCAATCTCTGCATCATCTATTATGCATTACAATTGAGATAATAGGCTTGTGGCAGCATCCACGTTTGCTGGTTCCTGTTCCAGATGCTCGGAAACCTGAAAATAATAAGTTTCACTTTAAAGTAGAGCATAATTTCGTTTCCTGTTTTTTTTTAACTGCTTGGGAGGAAAAAAAATTAAGAAGTACCTGCTGTCTAGAAGAATCATTTGTCTTTGATATATTTAACTTAGGCTAATTCTGTAGTCATAATTCAGTAATTTGGGGAGGACTACGGGATTCACTAAATCTGTCAGATCAGCAGCCGGTACTGTATGCTACAGGACATAGACAAAACATTGTGCCAGTAACATAGATGGAAACAGGCTGAGCTTTTAGTTGAGGGAATTACGCTCTGGACTGCCTAACTTTGAAACCATGGAAGAAATACTATTACTTGCAGCCTGGGTGATCAAATCCATGGTTCTGTCACGAATTAGCACATGAGGAGCAGCGTAGTCTGAATTCCCAGGCACGTGCAAGCTAGCAGGGCTAAGGCCAATGGCACCAGCTGCCTTGACACCCTTGCTCAGCCTCATCCTATGCTGGAGGCACTGTCACCTGCAGTTCCTTTTTCCTCAGCTGCTTCTTAAGGTATTTGGTGCTGGTTCTGTTGCACCCAGCCATACAGAAACTTGACTACCCCAGGCACAGTAAATAAAACTTGCATCCACGTTATTGAACTAATCCCTCTCTTTACCCCAACAGCCAGCATGGATTCATCCTTATTTCCACCCGGGCCATTGCTTTTTCTGTCCCCCAAACCACATCCAGATCATCAAAGAGAGCTGGCAAAAGGAGGAGCTTGTCAGCAATTAAATGGTGTGCCAGTGCTCTAGACCGTCTAGCCCTGTTTACTGCGCTCGGCTAGACAAAGCAAGAGAAAAACATTGTCTTGAAGTGCTGCAGGCAAGAGTTATTGTATAGGAACTGTTACGTTTCAGATGTTGTTCGTTCTAATAAGGGAGTATGAAGGCTTAGGAATGTGGAACAGAAAGAGGTAGAGCCGTTTGGTTCAAAAGATCTACTGGTGCTTTGGGTAGGAAGCACCAGTACAGGAAGAGTCCCTTTTACTTTCTGTGTCTCTTCATGTTGAGACACAAGCCTCAAATCAAGGGTCTGTACCTGGAACTGGCTTTAAAAAAATGCATCAGAAATAAAGCTGGAGAATCATTGAAATGTTTAGGAAGCACATTCGGGCTTGACTGCCCACCCTCTTCACTTCTGACTTTAATAGTTACATAGCACTTGCTGTATCACTAACCAGATTGCTAACCGGATTTCAACATTACCACATAACTGAAATTAATAAACCTGGTTTATAGCTCTAGAGCAAGAGCATGAATGGTCTGCAGTCTTAGGGATGGAGCATAATGCTTTGAACGTGGCACTTTGTAAAAAACTTGAGGAGGGAAATGAAAATACAATTACCTGCTGTCCCTTTTGAGGTTCTGCTGCGATGCCTTTTGATAGCTGTTTTACTTCTTTCTGAACTTCAGTAAATGCTTTATTTAGTGCTCGAACTTTCTCATCGTTTACAATATTTATCTGTAAAGAGAAAAAAAGCCTTGGAAGTTGGTATTTTAGACTGAAATTCCATTGGCAAATTGTGAAATTGCCTCATTTCTGTGTAACTATTAGAGAGTCTACGTATTATGCATATCTTCCAAAATTGCTTTTTGCAAGCAACAGTCTTAGGTTTGGGTTTATGTACTGGTACTTCACTGTACCACCTAGTCATGTAAATATTATGATATTACTAATGTTCTAATAAATTGACAATTATGAAAGCAGTTAAACTTGTTCTGTTGGAAAGGGAGATGATGCTTCTGGTCCAGAAACAAGCCCAGATGTAGGTAAGCCATGCCACCTTCAGTTCCTCTTAGCTGGAGTAAGTGAACATAGACAGTTCAAGGAAGGATTCCTTCCTTAATTTATAAATGATCAGACCATTTTGAGTTTTTCCAGCAATTTACCTTTCAGCGTCACACACTGCAGTCCTACTTGTTCCTACGGCAGGTTTGACCAACAACGCCTACCAGACTTTGCCATGGTATTTAAAGAAGCTTATGCAGAACAGGGTGTGTATCTGCTCTCTGGACTCCTCTTTTCACAAAGATGCTTGCTTCTGAATGGGAACAACTAAGACATAGACATGCTGTGATCTTCTCTGGGGACAATAATCTGTAGTAGAGGAGCTGGCTGGATACTTGGGGCCATAGACACTTACTTTGCTGCAGGAGAGAAAGATTTGGCTGATCTCAGCCCTGCTGAGACCCTGCTTGCTTCTGAAGCACCAGGTTTTGAACAGGATCTTAGCCAGATGATGGCATACTACGCTGCCAAATGTTCCAGAAGCATGCTCACGCTTCTTCAGGCAGTCCCAGATTTCAGGATACCTACTGCTGTTCCAAAGGCTACCACGGCAATTCACCTCGCAGCAAAACGGGTGGACAGAAGCAAACCATGAATCGTTACACCTGTGCCTGTTGCTTTCAATGTTTCCTTAATTTCAGATCACGGATATATAATTCTGAATGAGTCACTAAGAGAATCAGAGTAGTAATAAGGCAGTGGCAAGAAGCTGATCAAACAAGCTTATTTAGGAGTAGCAGTTTAATTCATAATACCTCAAGAAATATGGATTCAGCTCGTAGCTCAAATTAGAGTGGATGGGACTGTGAGCAGCTCAATTTACAAGGCCTTTAGGGCCTGCTAACGTCTTCCAGCCTCACAATGACACTGCAAGGGTACTGTTGGTTTAAAGAACTGATCTCCTCTGATACTCTGGAAAGGACATCTCCGTAGGAAGCGGCTCTGTAGCTAGTGCGTGTGTCTGTATCAAAAGTTGCTGGAATAGTTATAATTGGCTTTTATCTGTTAAAGAGTAAACCTGTTTTAAAGAATTTTTTCTGAGCACCTCATTATGCTGGTTAATGGTAAGTAAATCCCAAAGGCCTAATGAATAAAAGAATACAGCTTCACACACACAGAATAAAATTTTACTCCTAATGAGATACTGACTTTTCATTAAGATGATTTCAAACCTGTTTCTGCTTTTATTACACAAAACACTCTAGACTAAGGAAATCTGACGCCAGCAACGTTAAACTGCTTTGGGGCTCCCTGTTTCTTTCCAGAGTGTTTTTTTGTTCCTGTCTGTCTACCAGGTTAACTGGTCAAGCAGCTTTATCTTCCAGAAGAAAATCTGAGAGGGCCTTTTTTAGGGCTGCTGTTTAGTTAAACTCTATTTGCCCACCACACTATAACTAAATATATTGGGAACATTAATCCACTAACTTTCTACGTTTATTATCGGATGCCCTTCTGAGAGACCAGATGCCGCAGTTGAGGCTGGAGGCAGGCCTTGAGAAGAGGATGCAATACAAAGACTTGCTCCTACCAAGAGGAAAAGTCCTGCTCACATCACTCCCATTCCTCTTTCCCCTCCATCGCTCCCAGCCAGGCAGGTTTCACTTTACAGCTGAGAAAAACAGACGGCTACTGGATCACAAGAGGCTCTGTCCTTCCTGGTTCTTCTCCCCCAAATGTTTCACCTTGTACGTGCTGCCTTTTGGCGTTTGCCCATCATTAAACTGGTTCAGGTCACCAGTCCAGCACAGAAAAATACAAACTGCATTTTTAATTGCTTTTGCTGCTGATTTAGCAGGTCGAATCGCCTACTGTGCAACGAGTTGCCAGAGCTGCAGCAGGGTGAGCCGGGGAGCAGGGTCCAGAGCCGAGGAGCACGGCTTCCCCACCTCTAACTCTTCATTTGGCTCTAGCCCTTTTGCTACATCACAGCTTGAATTATTGCACCAGCAGAGATGCTGAGAGTCTTGTTTGCCTAGTAAAGGTAAACTCTTCAAACCACTGCTGGTGTCTTTAGCATCACATTCCCTAGGGCACCCTAAGATGCTATCAGATGCTTTCTAAATGACCACCCTGAAGGAAAACAGCTCGAGGTCTTATGTGACAGGGTGTTTGCGGACCTTTTTGCGCTTCCCTTTTGTAAGGTAACGACCTCGGGACCTTTTTGCGCTTCCCTTTTGTAAGGTAACGACCTCAACGCACAGCGCTAATCTTCAGCTGCAAACCGTGTACTTAGGAACACAATCCAGCTGTTAGCAGACGGATTTTTCTCCCTCCAAATAAAAGTCTTTTTTATTTTTTATTTTTAATTCTAACTGAATTTTTTATCCAGAAGCGTATTGCTCATAATACAGCTTTATTTACTCAAGAACACTGCTCC